TACGCTCCTATGATGAAACATACCGAGCGTACGCCGCGTACGTCGCGTACGCCGCTGTCCCAGCGTAGTCTGGCCCAACCCTTACTGTCATAACTGGAGGAAGTGCCTTACTGATATGCATTTTTATGTAGCAAATTGCAGGCTTTTGTTTTCCAACAAAGTAACATTTCAATCCATCAAAGTACTATATGATGATGAGATGCTATAGGGTAACAATATTAACTCCACAAGTTTATTTTCTTAAACATTTTGCGTATAAGAAATTGAATCCGATGAAATTGACAACGCTTTCAGTACATTGAAGACCAAATCGCTATAGATTGTAGATGAAAACAAGGCTCATCAAAACACTAATCGGTTGTAGTCTCTTGTAAAATTGTCCAGATACGGTTTCCATCTGACATCGAGCAGCTGACTCTCTTGGAAGTAATTTAAAAGCACTTGGTGAACGAATAAATACTGTTGATCCGTCTGTGAAAATGTAAAGCTTGTTCTCCCACCGCTACAAAAACCATCTCACCTGGATAGTATTTGCTCTTTGAGATCTCAGCTTGAGTAATAATTTGTCGCTTTCCTCTATCGGTTGATTCAGCGAAAGTGATTCTAGAATATGTTGTATCATTACGAATGATCCAGTTCTTCCTACGCCAGCGGAACAGTGCACGACAATGGGAGCTCTAGAGAAAACAAGATGGATGCAAAACTTGAGTTAGGATATGTTCTCTATTGACTTACTGCGTGCTCTTTATTATATCAAGAACTTGAATTATAGCAGAATCTGCGGGAGGTACCCCACGATCTGGCCAATCTACCCATTGAAGGTGTTTCGTTTTGTACCTCTGAACATAAGAAGTAATCAAAGAATAACTCTCAGTGAGCTCACTCTTCCACTTTTTTCTACCAAAAGTGCCGTAACCCGGACTCGAGCATTGGTAGTACACAGAAATCTCACCTGAAAATAAAAAATCACCAAATATTAGAGCATATTTTGAACTGATACTATTCTATTCTGTTAGCAATCGGTGAATTATTTAGGCATATTAAGAGAATATCTCAAAAATTAAATTCATTACTTTGCAAGATCGGTAAGGTGATCAACGACTCCATTTTTGAATTATTAGATCGTTTCGATAGCAATTTTGCTTTTTTGAAGGAGTCAAAAAAGGCCCAGAAGATGCATGCACTGGTATTCTTGCGTTTCTGCTTCTTTTCGACTTTTGCCGAACAGTAAAACGAAACTTCTCAGAAATGTTTGAAACAAGGATATTGGTAAGATACTGCAAAACTTTCTGGAAAGCACTCAAGATTCCGATTCAAAAACGTGACAAGTAGAAAGAGTAAAGAAGGCTGTACCAAATGCGTTTTCGTCTATCAATCATGATACTGACGGATTGATACTTGGTCAATGCGAATCACCACTGGGACCAAATATCTTGAAGGTGCAAAAAAAATTGCTTTTATCTTTTGTGCTTTGCGGACCGGTACACAAGAGTATATGAGAAAACAGCCTTACCATAGTGGAACCCATATATGTTATCGTTATATCGCCAAATTGTAATGAGCCCTGAGTTGGGTAATATGGAAAACATTTTCTTGCCCCCTGAAAAGGAAGTTGAGATAAGCTACAGACACCATCAGTGATAGAAACCTTTTCGAAGAAATTGCAAAGCATTACAATAAATTCTACTCGATCTTGTATGCACATTAACCAAAAATCTTTACATGTCTTTTCCAGTGGGGCCTGATAGATGCATTTTCAGATTTGGCGAGCCTCAGGAGTTAGGCTTACTTGTGTACAAATAAATCTTCGCGAGCAGGTAGGCGTTGACACGTAATTAGCGTGCACATAATCGTCATCTTCGGGGCGGTTTAGTAGTTTCACTCTAGACGCATCTAGGCAGCCAACATCCTGAAACATACAGTATACTGACATCATTGTGAACTTTACCTTTTGAGCATTAACAGTCAATCTACAAACTTCTTCAACTTTTTTTTATCACCAGTTATAATAAGCCGCTGATCTATCAGACTTTTAGTTGGACTCTTACTAAAACACAGTGTAACTGTACGTTCCTATGTTGAAACCAACCGAGCGCACGCCGTGGCGCTTGTACGTTTGTACGCAGCGCACTCTGGCCCAACCCTATATGCTAAGCAGGGAATAGTCAGAACTCGGACTT